AAAAGAGTTGGACCCGTTCCGAATCGGTCCGTTTCAAACGAGTCGGGTTAGGTCCGGTTCCTAAACTCAAAATCCCTCTATCCGGCCCGTCCCTCCCCGTTATTGTTTAAAACGGTTAAGGTCCGGTTCCTCCAAAATTAGGCTCGGCCCGGCCCGTACCCACCCCTAGTATGAACCATATAAAGTCCTACCCCAGTTAAGTGTACGTAGTCACCGACTCACCAATCATTGTTTATGAACCTTCTGTAAGTGTTAATGAACCATCTGTATTAACTAAGTTTATTTACACCAATAATTGCGTATGAACCATCTGTATTAATTAAGTTGTTCCATATATTTAAGGGTTTTTTTTATATATAGGCCAATGCAATACTTATTTTCATGACAAAAACCCATTTCGTTTTAAACTTTCAAATAAAATCTAAATTTGAAATAAACTGTCATGTAAACAAATAAATATCTATTATTTTTAAAATATTTACAATTGTGCGACAACACCCTAATTATGTTGATGAATTTAATTATCCACCATAATTATGGCAAATAAGTGCTTTATTATTACAAAAGTATCTACTTTATACTTGTCTTACCATCATCTGTTTCATTTCTTATACTTGTTTGACAATCATTGTAGGTAAATTATTTTGCATGTATTATTACATATGTTAGGCACGTTTTGATATTATTATATATATGTGTATGCAAAAAACTTAATTAACTTTTGAATCAAACAGTATTTATTTGTTTTTACTAATAACTTATATTGTTATTTTACTTGGAACTTAATATTGTTATTTTATATATGTAAAATATTGGTAATTTTGAATAAAATAACATTTTTATATTTGTGAAAAATACTAATTTACCGGTTACAATTATTTGAAAAGGAAAAAAAATGCTCATTTTTACATAAATGTGAAAACAACTATATATATAAGGAATCAAAACTCTAATATCATGTAATTTTTGTTATTAATATGCATTGAAATCATGATGCTAAAATTTCTTTTCCAAATCTGCATAACATTTCAAAACGTTTAATTGAATGAAATAATATAAAATAAATGTAGACAACAAGTAATAGACCCAAAGTCAATGATATTAGGGGTAATTTAGACATCCAAAAATACCAATTTTGCCAACTCATACTTAATTATGGATATTGCTTAGTTGGAGCCTAGTCATTGGGTTTTTATTAGAAAATTTTACAATAGTGGGTTTTAGTTAATTATGGATATTATGGAAGACCTGGCAATTTATTACACGACCCGTTAACACAACACGTAAACGACACGAAAATAACGGGTTTCGGGTCAACACGATAACTAATCGGGTCATTATCAGGTCACACGATAATAACCCGTTAATAACGGGTCCTTAACAGGTTTACACGAAAGTGACACGCGGGTAATATGTTTCGACACGATAAGAAAAATGCTATTTTGATGATTTTAGTTTTTTAAACTACTAAAAAAAAACTTACTATAAAATGCAATAGATTTAATGAATATGTATATATTGTTTATTAATTATTATTCTATTATTATTTTATATAAATTTTAAAATTTAAGTTTTATTTATTTGTTTATTTTTATAATATATTATAGGCAAAGATTGAGATTAAAAATCATAAAACACATTAAAAATAAAAATATCAAGTAATTTAAAAATACCAAAAACATAAAAAAATTATAATAATTAATTTCACGCCTAATATTTCAAGAGTTTCATCCATTTCCCACCTAATGTTTGGGAAATTTTGCAACCTATATCCATCCATTTCCCGCCTAATGTTTAACCCAAAGAAAAAAAAATAACCAGCTTTTTTTTTTATTTATTTATAATCTCTTATAACATTTTAACTTGAATAAAAATAAAATACGTAATGAAAAACATAAATGTAATTTTATTATTAAATATCATCACATACTAATTGAAACATAGTCTAATTAACACTTAAAATATATAAATAATTAATATATTTATTCCAAGTCATCAAAACGATAAGATTCACTAACGCTTAAAGTTTATTTATACTTTCATTAAGTATAACATCAATGCGTATCCCATCAAAATGATGAAAGTATGAATAAACTCTTAAGTGTTAGTGAATTTATTGTTTTCACAGGATACGTATCCTACAAAACTAATTTCAACAATCTAACCGTCAAACTTGTTTATACATGCTTCGAGATCGCATACTCCAAAAATTGCAAAAAACAAACATTCACAAATGAAGTAATGAGACAAAACTTTTCAACGGTTATAAACGAAAAATCACGATTTAACGATTATTTTAACTCCGATTTTGATGACTTTTTACAGCTACACTCCTTGACCTTATATGAATACAATGAATGAATTCGATCTTCAATTTAAAATATTTACACTAGTGGATACCACAAATCTTATGTTATACTTAATAAAAGTATAATAAACTCTTAAGTGTTAGTTAATGTATCGTTTTGATGGGATACGCATCCTATGAAACTAATTTCAATGATCCAACTGTCAAATTTGTTTATACATGATTCGAGATCGCATACGCCAAAAATTGCAAAAAACAAACATTCAGAGATCAAGTAACGAGACAAAACTTTTCGACGGTTATAAACGAAAAATCACGATTTAACGGTTATTATAACTCCGATTTTGATGATTTTTTTACAGGTACACTCCTTGACCTTATATAAATACAATGAATGAATTCGATCTTCAATTTAAAATATTTACACTAGTGGATACCACAAAATCTTATGTTATACTTGATGCAAGTATAAATAAACTCTTAAATGTTAGTGAATCTATTGTTTTGATGGGATACGCATCTTAGAAACTAATTTCAACGATCCAACCGTCAAACTTGTTCATATACGCTTCAAGATCGCATACACCAAAAATTGCAAAAAACAAACATTCAGAGATCAAGTAATAAAACAAAACTTTTGGACGGTTAAAAACAAAAAATCACAATTTAACGATTATTTTAACTCCGATTTTGATGATTTTTTACAACTATACTTCTTGAACCTAAACAAATACAATGAATGAATTCGATCTTCAATTTAAAATATTTACACTAGTGGATACCACAAAATCTTATGTTATACTTGATGAAAGTATAAATAAACTCTTAAGTATTAGTGAATCTATCGTTTTGATGTGATACGCATCCTACGAAACTAATTTCAACTATCCAACCGTCAAACTTGTTTATATATGCTTCGAGATCGCATACACCAAAAATTGAAAAAAAACAAACATTCAGAGATCAAGTAATGAGACAAAACTTTTCGACGGTTATAAACGAAAAATCATGATTTAACGGTTATTATAACTCCGATTTTGATGATTTTTTACAGCTACACTCCTTGACCCTAAATAAATACAATGAATGAATTCGATCTTCAATTTAAAATATTTACACTAGTGGATACCACAAAATCTTATGTTATACTTGATGAAAGTATAAATAAACTCTTAAGTGTTAGTGAATCTATCGTTCTGATGAGATACGCATCATACGAAACTAATTTCAACTATCCAACCATCAAACTTGTTTATATATGCTTCAAGATCGCATACGTCAAAAATTGCAAAAAAAAAACATTCAAATATCAAGTAATAAGACAAAACTTTTCGACGGTTATACATGAAAAATCACGATTTAACGGTTATTTTAATTCCGATTTTGATGATTTTTTACAGCTACACTCCTTGACCCTAAACAAATACAATGAATGAATTTGATCTTTAATTTAAAATATTTACACTAGTGGATACCACAAAATCTTATGTTATACTTGATTAAAATATAAATAAACTCTTAAGTGTTAGTGAATCTATTGTTTTGATGTGATATGCATCCTACGAAACTAATTTCAACGATCCAACCATCAAACTTATTTATATATGCTTCGAAATCGCATACGCCAAAAATTGCAAAAAACAAACATTCAGAGATCAAGTAATGAGACAAAACTTTTCGATGGTTATAAACGAAAAATCACGATATAACGGTTATTGTAACTCCGATTTTGATGATTTTTTATAACTACACTCCTTGACCCTAAATGAATACAATGAATGAATTCGATCTTCAATTTAAAATATTTACACTAGTGGATACCACAAAATCTTATGTTATACTTGAAAATATAAATAAACTCTTAAGTGTTAGTGAATCTATCGTTTTGATGGGATACACATCCTACGAAACTAATTTCAACGATCCAACCGTCAAACTTGTTTATATATGCTTCGAGATCGCATACGCCAAAAATTGCAAAAAAACAAACATTCAGAGATCAAGTAATGAGACAAAACTTTTCGACGGTTATAAACGAAAAATTACGATTTAACGGTTATTGTAACTCCGATTTTGATGATTTTTTGCAGCTACACTCATTGACCCTATATGAATACAATGAATGAATTCAATCTTCAATTTAAAATATTTACACTAGTGGATACCATAAAATCTTATGTTATACTTGATGAAAGTATAAATAAGTGTAGATAATTAAGTACAAAAATTTTGAAAAAACAAAAAATAATTTAAAATATATAAATAATGGTGGGTGAGATGTGATATCTTTGGTGGAAAGAGGTTGGGAAAAATTTGAGTTAGAATCGACGGAAAGGTTGGAGGAATGAATGAGTGTGTGCTAGATGAAGGCGAGAAACTCAAATGGAGGAAAAAGAGACTTGGGTGTGAGATCTGAGGCTTTGACAAAAAAGGAAGAAGAGTGGTTTGGGGATCAGGGGTCTCAGCAAGGTGAAGATAGGTGTGAAGGAGATGATGAATGTCCAGTTCTTAGGTTTTGTATTTTCTTTCACTTTTTCTATTTTTATTTATTTATTTATAATATTATTTAAAGATATATTACAATTATTTAAAAATATATATATATATATATATTAGGGTTATTTTGGAAATAATGGTGGGTGGGAAAATTACATTTTACTTTTTTTAATATTTTATGATGGGTGAAATTATCATGTGGATAGAAAAATAAGATAATATGGTGGGTCTAGTAGCACTCTTATGGATATTGCTTAAAACTGAAATCGATTGGTGTGTGGTGGAGGCAAAAATGGGAAGCAAGAGCATGCCGAAATTGCCACTCCCGCTGGCGGCAAGCGGGAAAAGCATGCCGGTGATAGGGTTAGGGACGTTTCCTTCAGCCGGCAGTGAAGCCACAAAAGCAGCCATTCTCAATGCAATCAGAGCTGGATACACGCACTTTGACACGGCTGCTGCTTACAACACAGAGCAGTTTTTGGGTGAAGCCATTTCAGAAGCTCTTTCTCTTGGCCTCATCAATTCCCGGGATGACCTTTTCATCACTTCCAAGCTCTGGTGTAGCGACGCACACCCTCATCTTGTGCTGCCTGCCATTCATAACTCTCTCAGGTAATTCGTTAAGTTGTTTATTCTTTTTAATACAATGCATATTAATTCTGCTTACAAGGGTTGACGTTTAATTTAATTCTTCTACTTAAGCACGTTAATTTGTATCCATCCATGCATGTAGGAATCTTCGGTTGGATTTCCTTGATCTGTATCTGATTCATTTTCCGGTGAGTATGAAGCCGGGAAAATTTGATTTTCCTATTAAAAAAGAGGACCTTCTTCCCATGGATTTCAAGTCGGTTTGGGAAGCCATGGAGGAATGTCAAAACCTTGGCCTCACCAAGTCCATAGGAGTCAGCAACTTCTCTTGCAAGAAGCTTGAAATCTTGCTTACCACTGCTAAAATTCCCCCTGCAGTCAACCAAGTAATTCATTACCTCTACCGTATATATAAAGTTTTATAACAATGCGGTTAACTAAGTGTTTTTAAATGCGGATGTTGATACGATGCCAGTATGCCGTTGACATTGTTGATAGTGCAAATTTACAGTTATCATATATGTGATCGGTTATGGTTGTCTTTTATTTGCAAGTGTAGTTGACCCCAAAATTAGTAGAATTTAAGTAAATGTTTAATCTGGTTAGGTGGAGATGAACCCAGTTTGGCAACAGAAAAAACTAAGACAGTTTTGCGAGAAAAAGGATATAGTTATTGCAGCCTATTCTCCACTGGGGGCAAACGGAGCTTTTTGGGGGACAAAGAGAGTCATGGATTGTGAGGTGCTCAAAGAGATTGCGCACGCCAAAGGAAAAACCCTAGCCCAGGTACGCACCATAAAAACCTGCTGAACTATTTTTGATCTGACCGTTCATTTGAAAAAAAAAAAAAGGAATTTTTTTATATTTAAAGAATATTGAGAACGAGTCCCATATTGATTGAAGAAGAGACCTTGTACGGGCTTATAAAAGGTTTGGCTACTACTCATATTGCCAATTGGTTTTATGGTGAAACCTCAACTTTCGTTATGGTATCAGAGCAGGTTGTCTCACATGTGAAGCTAAACGGTTATACACGCTCCATGTCATCCCGTTGTGTTATCCACGTGTTAAGCTTGAAATTAACCACACATGAGGGGGCGTGTTAAGAATGAGTCACATTTTGATGGGAGGAGAGACCACATTGATGGAAGGAGAGACATTGAATGGGCTTATAAGAGGTTGGGCAAATTTACCACATGTGAGGGGGCGTGTTCAAAATAAGTCACACATTGATGAGAGAAGGGACTTTGTATGAGCTTATAAGAAGTTGAACTACTCTCTATATTACCAATTAATTTTATGGTGAAAATAATAATACCAATTTTCGTGCGCGGGTACTCTCTTGTTTTTGACCGAGTTGAAAGTCTCCAACAAGATTTTAATGAGGCCACATTGATGCATCCTATATATTCTTTTGTATGAATTCTTATTTCTTGAAAATATTATGATATTAACTATGAAATTTTGGGTGCTTTGCTTTTGCATGCATGAATTAGGTTTGTCTGAGGTGGGCTTATGAGCAAGGGGTGATCGTGGTGGTGAAGAGCTTTAACAAGGAGAGGATTAAAGAAAATATTGACGTATTTGATTGGGAGCTGAGTCCTGAGGATTTGGATAAGATCAATCAAATTCCACAAATCAGAGGGTACCAAGGATTTGACTTCATTTCAGATGAAGGCCCTTGCAAGTCTCCTGAGGAGCTTTGGGATGGAGAGATTTAGTCCTCGTGTTTCACAAATTGCACGAGTTATGGTTGCATGATTGTTGAATGAATGTACCTTTTTTTTTTTTTCCGAACAAAAATCAATGTACTTTTTAGAATACCAAAATCAAACATTGCAAGTGTTTTTGTTCTTTGTTTGTCTGTTTTTTTTGTCAAATGAAGTTTCAGTCGACAAAGAAGGAAACAGTAGAATTATTTCTTGACAAAATCCAAGGAAAAAAAGATTACCAATTACACGGTTAGGAGTTAGTAATTAGTCAATTTAATCATATAAGAGCCCGCCTATTTGTTAGAGCTTACTTACAAATAGCATAATCAATCTACTCCACTAAAGGTTTTAACTTCCAACAGATGAGGTGAACTGGTGAACCGTACCGTATTGTTCAAAGTTAAGACCTTAGCTACCTGGTAACATCCACCCCGTGTCCAGCGGCCTATCTCTGAATTCAAAGGTGTTCTGTCTTCTATGGCCAAAGTAATAAACATAATTACATTACATAACACGCTGTACTAATTCTTGCAAGAGAGATGCTAATCCGACTCGCCTATATCAAAGAATAAACCGTTTACGGTGACTTTGCATTTTCGTGCATGCCTTAACTAATTAATTAGCATATCCTGAACGTGGTTTGCTCCATAATCTTTGACAATTTGGACAATGGTTGATAAGACAATATTAAAATTGACATACAAGAGAATCACAAGTATCACATGAAAAGGAAAAAGTCTATAAGAGGTCATCTATTTAAATTATATGATGTAGTTGTTGAGTTTGGATTATTACTTAATTAACATCCGTATTTTCTATTGGTAACACATCACATAGTTTGCAAATGTAATTTAAAAAGTTGGTTACCTAGCATAACTCTTTATCATAAGGTCCTATGGCCAACATTTTTAATTCATTTTTAAGGGTTTTTGGACCTAAACCAACTGGTAAACTTATTTTACTTTCATCGACGTGCTCGCGACAGTTTTTAACATAAGATATGCTACTTACAACACAAAGTAATTTTGGGGTGAAGCCACTTCAGAAGCGCTTTCTCTTGGCCTCATCAATTCCCGGGATGACCTTTTCATCACAGTACTAGAAATTTCGGCTTTACCAACAAAATCAGTTTGTCGGAAAAAGTTATATTTCGTCGGCAAAGGGTCTTTTCTGACGAAATTTTTTGTCACACAAAGTGTGTTGTGTAAGATCTTTTCCGAAGAATTTTGGTATTTCCTCAACTCTGTTTTAAGGTGACAAAACTCAGCCGTCAAATTGTGCCCGCCACTAAAATAGTTGACAGAATAGTATGTCAGCAAATGTGTTATTGCTCGTCAAAATATTTTGTCGGCATAGATTTTCCACGACAAAAATATTCGTCCAAAAAGGTGAAACTCTTTGTCGACAATTTTTTTTCAGCTTAGTACCCAATGCCGACAAACTCTTTGCCGACAATATTTTGCCGGGAGAGATTTCCATTGCCGAAACGCAAAACCACGTTATGAAATAATGAAGAGTTACATATTAAACCCATCAATATACATACCAAATGCTATATAACATTAGATATAATGCATCCACAAACCGTCGAGTAAGCATATTGGAAAATGAGTAGTTTGGTATCTAAACCATTCGTAGATGAGTAATAAGTTCCAAATGAAAAAGGAGTCTGGTAAGCATTTATTTCATCCTCTTCCTCACCCACATGTTGATCGGAATTTGTGTGTGGTGGTAAAATCATTGGGGGAGGTACAAACCCAAGGGCTTCCTTCGCTAGCTGCTGCATAGTTTGCCTCTACGACTGTATGAAAAGTCCAAGACTTTACTGGACTTCCACGCGAGCTGCATCAGCTGCATTCACTCTCTGATCTGCTGCCTCTCGAGCTGCTCTCTCTGATGCCAGCTGCTCCTGATCCAACTGCTGGGGTTGTCAATGAAGATCCCTTCATCCTAAAAAAGATGTAGTCAAGACAGTACAATTTAATACAACGTCAATTATATAACTAAAGTAGAATGGTTATCATAACCTCAAAATGTAAAACCTACAAATTTGGCCTCAGCAGTGTCATTGGTCCAATTCTTATTATTCCTGGCATAGGCTATATCAAAGGTATCAATCTTCGGAAATGGGACTTAGTTCCAAGATTACATATTGTTAGATGACAAATGTGAGCCAAATCTGTCTAATTATGGGCTTGGGAGGAAACCAGTGGAGAAAATGATGACACTGGTGGTGTTCTATCATTTGCAGCATCTAATTCTAGTCTCTCTGCTTCACTGAAACTCTGTTTTGTCTCTTTTATTGGGTTTGATTTTTCCGCAACTTTGGATATGTTTGGAGAAATGGGTATGGATTCTTGAGTTTTATGGTTATTTAGAGTATGGTTTGTGCTAAGCTGAGAATTGTGATGTCTGAGAAGATAGTGCAAAAACTTATCGAGAAGTTTGTGTGGTAGTATATTTCCTTATCATAGCTTATAACGTCAAGCCTAACAAACATTCTAACAACTTAAGCTGATGTGGCATTGATTACACGGTAACGAATCATCAAGATCACAATACTGACTGGATTTTTATGTGAACCCACGTCCCTTGTAGCATAACGTTTCTGCTTACGGTTAGTACTTAGCATAACAATATTCAATTATTCAATGATAACGCAATATTGCTCACAAAAGTATAAATATTATTTACTTTTGAAAGAAAATGACATCCACACAGTGAGCTCTATTTGAATATATGAAAGATATTACCACATCATTTCCATTTGGGGAAAAAGTTGTTTGCATAATTAATTTATATACTAACGAGTCACGACCGAAGTTTGAAAATTTCTTTCCCCACGCTAATTTGATGTATAATTAATAATAATATTATTGATTACTTTTATGAAAAACAGAAGAAGCATGGTTTATTTACAACGCACCTTTGTGAAAGCAAAAACCCACAATCCGGGAAAAGGGGTTCCAAATCCAAAGTTTTCCATTTGCACACCTGAAAAAAAAGCTTATGATCGACCAAAGAATGGTTGATGAATTTCTCCAAGGTCACGTTTATTATTGACTCTTGGCCAACAAAGAAAAAGCTTACGACCGACCAAAGAATGAATCAAAGTTATTAACTTATTTCATTACAAAGAAATTAACGGAAGAGGGAGAAGGGAGTTGAGAAATTGGGTTGTTTGGTCAGTAATGTTGGCTAACTTCATGTCTTCAGGCATGCATGCGTGCATGTTTATCGACTGGTAGAAATTTGTATATGTATCAGCAAAACAATGTAGTATATTATGTGTTATACGTAAACGTAGATAACATGGTTAATCTCAGTTTACTACTTTGAATTTTCATGGTTTTCAACATTCAGTACATGAAACTTTTTCCATCCCAAAATGGTACCTAAAGTCACAATTTTAGGACACTTTTATACTTTTGTTAAGGTTGCTGTTAAATCAACCGTTAACTGATGACGTGTCATCCACGTGGATAATGACTGAGCGTCACATGAATATTAAAAAAATTTAAAATAATTAAATAACTAAAACTAAAAAAACTAAAAACCCCATTTGCTTTCCCTTCTCCTCCTCCGCCCGAGTCTATTCCGAGTCAGACCCGACACGCAGCTCGTAGAACCCACAAAGAAGAAGGAGCAGAAGCAGAGATAGGCGGTGGAGGAAACTGGTAAGCGCTCCATTGGCAGAGTCTTTTGACACTCTCAGTTCCTAAAAAATCTCAGACCAAAATCTGGATACCAATCGACCCCATTTCCAAGATTTGGTTTTGGAAGAAAAACTCAAATCTTGAAAAAGTGTAATTAATTGTTGTAATTTGATTACATATCTTAGGGGCGAGGGAGATTTATAAGAACCAAGGTCACATGGGGAGGTGGGTAAGTGAAGGAGGATGATTACATCTCTTCGCCTTGATCTCAGAAACCCAGAAAGAGTTCCTTATGGTTTAGCTTTTAGGGTTATATATCCACGTGGCGCCCACAAAGAAGAAGGAGAAGAAGCGGAGATAGGCGGTGGAGGAAACTGGTGGCGATGGGGTTGGATTGGAGGGTGGCTAGGGCGAAGCGACAGAGGAGCAAGGCCGCCCCTTCCCTCGCTGGAAATCAAGGCCAGGAGCGGTGATTTCGCCCCTCTGGTCCCGTCGGAAGTGAGCAATTCCGTCTGGTTCTCTGGTTTTTGGTGCTCTGCAACAGAGTCCAGTGCTGCTGTGTTTCTGTTTTCAATTTTCAAACCCAGGCCAAACGACGTCGTTTGGGACGGCAAAGAAATTTTTTTTTTTAAGTAGAACGGTGCATTTAGTTTCTATTAAAATACTAATAGCAGGAGACCATGCCTTATTTGTCGTTTAGTAGCACGTGAACAATTAACATCCTTCTAGTCTTCTTTGTCGTGGGATTTTTTTAAAGATTTCAAGGCTAGAACTTTTCTAATAATTTCGATATGGAATAGGAGCTGATTTCAAGGCTTTGATTTTTCCTTTTGAGTTGGAACTGATTTCATTCTAAATTTGTTTTAGATTTTTTATTAAAAAAAAAAAAAAGATAGGTTTTTTTTAAATAGGATAAATTATTATAATATTTTAAATGTACTTAATTATTAAATTCGTCATAGAGTACAAGAATTTGAATTTGTTTTCACTAAGTTCATCATAGTGTCACAGTTCGTAATTAATATTGATAAATCATGAACGTCATTAAATATTTTCTACTATCAAAACTGATTTTGTTGTCTCCATAATTTTTTAACCATGCACCATTTTAAATCCGTCCCTCCCCTTATCAATTACTGGCTTCGACACTGACGGTGAGGGTGGATTGCAGGATATGTAGATGGGGATTGAAAGGGTGGTTGCAGATTGGAGTGTGTTTTTAGGGGTGCTTTTTTTTTTTTAATATATAAAAAAATTTTATATAAATTTTTTTAAATTATTATTATTATTATTTTTTTTTTTAACATCCACATGGCGCCCAGTCATTGTCTACGTGGCGTCACGTCATCAGTTAACGGTTGATTTAACAACAACCTTAAGGGATGTATAAAAATGTTCTAAAATTATGACTTTAGATACCAATCTAGGATGAAAAAAACTTCATATACTAAATGTTGAAAACCATAAAACTTTAAGGTAATAAACTGAGATTAACCCTATATTTTTTTTATATTTATTTACTTACATTACGACATATTGTGAATTACTTTATATTCGAATATAGTGAAAAATCTCTAATTGAAAAGTAATGTTGACTCGTTATACACGTCTAGGAGTTTGACTGTTCAACGAGCGTACATTATGGCTTGGAAAATTGGAAATCGAGGGTATAAGACAAAATTAAGAAACAGTAAAATAAACAACACAACAGAAATCGTATTTGTTCTACAAATTTCCAACGCCTTGGTCGCTAGGTAATGCTTCACATTTTTTTTTAACTGCCAATTAATTAAGGGTGGTATATTCACATATTTCATTTTATCTTTATTTACACATTTTTAAATTTTAGATAGTATAATCGGATGAGTATGTGAAAATTAAAAATGAGAATGTGATAGCACCACCCTTAATTAATCAGTTGGTTATGAAGGGTCCTTCTCATGCATTATTGATTTTTTTTTTTTTTTTAACAAACGATATCATTTACATTAAAAATGACAGGGTTAGGTTAAGCCTCATAATGAGCTAGCAATATATAACGTGGTTCAAATTCATCTTTGATGAGAATCGAATCTAAAACCTCTCACATACAAGTGAAAAGAAACACAACTAGATCGTATTATTAAGTGACATGCATTATTGAAATAATTCATGCTTCCTGTTAAGTCTGAAAACTATCTGAATCCAATAGAGTTATCCAATTCTAATAAGTCAAGAAGGATTAAAATTATGAAGTAGTTCGACGACTAAATATTTATGTAGTTTTTTCCTCCAGCTTTCTCTATTTGCACTGGCAATTTGTCTAATAAATTAATCTCTCGCTTTGACTAAAAAGAGGGTAAGAAAAAGATTGAGAATTTTGAGTTTTCGTTTCATATTCGAGCCAGAACCAACATCTTTATTCGATAGTTACATGTTACTAATTCTTCAACTGGACTGTTCTGTTTTACATATTCAAGTCTTTGCTAAAAATCGTAGGTCGCAATAATAATTCAAATTCAAAGTAAGCAAGTCAACTTCTAAATCATTATTGTCTGATAATATGAATTTCAATTTCTAAGACATTGTTTTCAAATAATACAAATTTCATCGATGCCAGTAAGCAATTCAAATTTGAACTTTTAAAACATTATTGTCTAATAATACTGTAATCCGTATCTTAGATACTTGGTACAACACCTCATACTCACAGTATTAACATTATTTATCTGTTATTGGTGAGCGACTTGCGTAATTACCAATTCTCATAATCGAACATGTTTACTTATTTAAAAAGAGAAAAGTTATGAGTAAAAATGAAATAAGAATGATAAGTACTATAACTGTTCAAGTATGTAATTAACAACCTCCCTTGGTGATCTCGAGCTTGTACCTGATTTCTCATGTATGACATACCTAATTTCAATGTGCGATCTACTTACTTTTACGTTTCGAACACCAAATCGGCCACCTCCTGATCTTCGATCCAAGCCAAGGTAATAAATCATATCCAGCCAGTCCAGCTGAAAATGTGTCTAAGATAGCATAATGATTATGTTTCTACGCACTGACAATATTTCTTTTCTTTCGCACGATATCTTTATGTTATTGAGTTATAGTCCTAGGGTAATATATATACACTTATATGCTCATAAATTTTTCTTTTAATAAAAAATTATATTTATACTTAAGAGTGAGATCAATGCGGATAAGCAAAGTCACACAATAGAGTTTGTCATAATAATTTAGTATCAAATTTGTTAATCACGTGAGTCAAATTTAAAATTTCTTACTTACAAAACTTCAATATTAAGTGACAAATTCATAAGTAAGTAAGATGATATGTATAATTTGTACAAGCAAATTTTAAAGAAATGTAAAAGGCTAGGCTAGCAACAAAATTCATAATTTTGTTTATTTGATTTAGTATTTTACATTACATTTGTTTGCCGGATAGATTCGACTACGACATATTCTGGTAGGTCAAAAACCAAGAAACGTCTTTTAACCGCAATCATCACACATCATGACATTCAAACCATAATCAGTAATTAAATAAGATGATATATAATTTGTAAAATAAATGTAAAAAGACAGGCTAGCAACAAAATTCATAACTTTGTTTATTTGATTTAGTAGTTTGCATTACATTTTTTTTCCGGATATACGACTACGACGACATATTCTGGTAGGCCAAAAAGCAAGAAAAGTCTTTTAACCTGCAGCCATCACACATCATGACATTCAAACCATAAACTGTAACTAAATAAATGACTTATGACATGGTCTACGCAGGTGCATGCCTATATAAACGGAAGACAATGGTACAAGTGGAGACCAAGATACCTTTTAATTCCATAGACTTCTCTCTAATTTCTTGAAGAGATTATTTGAAAGCTTAAATTCTTGATCGACGTACGCTAATTAGTGATGACGCCAATGATAGTTCCTGAGGTAACACTGAGCTCCTGTGACACGACGATGCCAGTGATCGGCATGGGGACTTCATCGTACCCTAAAGTTGACCCTGAAACAGCCAAGGCTGCAATTCTTGAAGCCATCAGAGCGGGCTACCGCCACTTCGACACTGCCTTTGCATACGGGTCAGAGCAAGATCTGGGGGAAGCCATAGCTGAAGCACTGCGTC